GTTACTATATATAAACACAACAAAATACTGCATGTATTACTATATATAAACACAACAAAGTACTGTATGTGTTACTATATATAAACACAACAAAGTACTGTATGTGTTACTATATATACACACAACAAAGTACTGCATGTATTACTATTTATAAACACAACAAAATACTGCATGTGTTATTATATATAAACACAACAAAGTACTGCATGTATTACTATATATTAACACATCAAAGTACTGAATGTATTACTATATATAAACACAACAAAGTACTGTATGTGTTACTACATTTGTATATATGAATACAATCATGTGTTGTGTGAGGTTCAACACATAAGATACACATTTGACTTCACCTATGCAATCTGGTGATAGATATAGAATGCTTAAGCGTATAACACTACAATGTCGAGCTGTTTTGTCCCTCTGGCTCTCATCGGTATAACACTACAATGTCGAGCTGTTTTGTCCCTCAGGCTCTCATCGGTATAACACTACAATGTCGAGCTGTTTTGTCTCTCTTGCTCTCATCAGTATAACACTACAATGTCGAGCTGTTTTGTCCCTCTGGCTCTCATCAGTAATGCCAGGGGCCAAAATGGTGGCTATCCAAACTGATCTAAACAGCAAACAGAAGAGGAGATGCGAAAACCAGGACTATTACGAATGTCAGGAATAAGAGGAATGCATGTTAATTTCCAATTAATATTTAATAACGTGTGTATTTAATGAATCATGTCGCTACTCATCATAGAGAATTGTAGCCATCAAGGTTACGGAAATCCTCGGGGATAAGACATTCACCAGCTGACTCTACCAACTTGTATCTTGATTGATGAATGTAAAAGACACATTACGTTTTGTAACATTTTGTTAAACAAAGACAGACATTGTGTGACCAACACAACCTTATGTCGTACGTGTTACTACATATGACCCTGCAATGTCGGTGATACTTTATTTAGCATAATCCTGTAATGTGTTATTATATATAAACAGAACCCGGCGTTACCGCACGTTTTACTATACATAAATACAACATTGTTCCATCTGCTGCTATATGTGAACAGAACCCTGAACTGACTGAGGTAAGGAATATAAACACAACACTGAACCGTCTGTGTTACTACATATGAACACGACCCTGAACTGCCTGTGTAAATATATATGAACACAACAATGAACTGCCTGTGTTACTATATCTGAACACAACCCTGAACTGTCGGTGCTACTGTATATGAACACAACCCTGAAGTATCTGTGTTAATAACATGAACATAACATGGGCTGTCTGTGATACAAGTGTACTATATTATGAACACAATTAAAGCAGCCATACACTATCCATGTTATTTTGTATAAACACAAAGAAAGGTGGACGCGAGCCAGATTACCTGAGTGAAAACTTGTAGGTGTTTTGAATAGTGTACAGGTAAAATATCACTTGCTTTGCATGCTGGCTTTGTGCTCAGTTATGATTTATTCAGTAGAAATATATGGCAATATTCTGGAGATTTGACACATTTTCTTATATTGTTCTCGATAATAGTGAATACACGGGTACCTCAACATAACGTCCGGAAACGAAAGTAAAAACACTGCATTCTGGTGATGGTAGTTGTAAAGTACTGTGTTTGACCTAGTCTTGTTCAACCAGACTCTTGTTGCCTGCGCAAGCTACGCCGAATAGAGAGTCTGGTCAAACCCAGTGCTTTCGTTTTGTGACATCATAACGAGGCTTACCGAGATTCTGGTAAAAAAATCATTGGTCAAAGGTTGACACACCCTTTTTAACTGTTGAAGTCAGAATTTGAGTGGCCCAAAATTACATTGAATATTTAAATTCATTGAAAAATTACCAGTTTTCACTATTAACGAGAAAAATGTAAGATAAGGCTTCAAAATAATTCATGAAGCTAACAAGGCTATTGATAAAAGTCAAGCTAGATTACCTGAGTGAGATGTTGAAGGTGAATGGTGTACAGGTAAAATCTCACTTGCTTTGCATGCTTTTTTCCAACTTCATTCAGCCTTGTTGGCTTTGTGCTTAGTTATGATTTATTCAATGGAAATATATGGCATTATTCTGGATGTTTGACACATTTTCTTACATTGTTCTCGATAAAAGTGAATACACGGGTACGTCAGGAATGCATGTATAGGTATTTTTTTTTCATTAATTTCATTATTCATTGAAATGTTTCATGGCGTTGAAATAACATCCGGAAACGAAAGTAAAAACACTGCCCTCTGGTGATGGTAATTTTAAAGTACTGTGTTTGACCAGACTCTTGAATTACAAGTGATCAAGCGTCTGGTTGAACAAGACTACCTTTTGTTCTTACTGTCACAAGGGAGATAACTATAACTGTATTATGTTCTATATTTTATAAAGAATGTTACGAGGATAAAGAGCATTTCAATAAAATTGCATTAATTTGCATGCATGTAATTCAATAATTATATGGTAATCCCCTTAACTGTAAGGCGATCCTCTCAGTTAATACCTGGATTAGAACGGCATAACAACGCTCTTTTTATCAGCATGGATTATCCTATTTATTCTCGTTGATATAATTATTCAGGTTGAAATTTTACAAGCCTTTATCGTCATCTGCCTGGTTCTTTTAAACCTTCGTGCTTCTAATGTCAGTCAATGCGCTTAAGAACTGTTTCTACAAAGAGAATGATATCCTAGCTATATGCTGTTATTTTGTCCCTACAGAGCCATTTAAAACAGTCACGTGTAGACGTTACCTGTCAGATACTAGTATCATGGATGGATATGTATATGTATGTATATCAATGCGATTCGAGACAAGATCTTTAGTGAAATGGTATTTATTACTTATACTCAAATTAATCGAACAGACTCGCCAGGAATGACGACCTAACGGCATTGTGAACGCTGCTTATGTTGTATAAAAAACTACATACATAACTTAGAGTTTGATATATCACTGTTTATCACTTACTTAAGTAAATATTGTAAATAATGATTTGTTTTATATACGTTATATCACTGATTAGTACATCCTGTGTATCCTAAAGTGTTATAGATAATGCACATGCCTTAGTTTTATAGCTAATGTAGACCTTTTAGTTTTATACTTAATGAGTATCATTTAGTTTTATAGGTAATATATATCAATTGGTTTTATAGTTAATGAGTATCGTTTACTTTTATAGATCATATATATCAATTAGTTTTATTGTTAATGAGTATCATTTAGTTTTATAGATCATATATATCAATTAGTTTTATTGTTAACGAGTATCATTTAGTTTTATAGATCATACATATCAATTAGTTTTATAGTTATTGAGTATCATTAACTTTAACAGATAATATATATCACTTAGTTTTGTAGTTAATGAGTATCATTTACTTTTATAGATCATATATATCAATTAGTTTTATAGTTAATGAGTATCATTTAGTTTTATAGGTAATATATATCAATTAGTTTTATAGTTAATGAGTATCGTTTACTTTTATAGATCATATATATATTAATTAGTTTTATAGTTAATGAGTATCATTAACTTTAACAGATAATATATATCACTTCGTTTTGTAGTTAATGAGTATCTTTACTTTTATAGATCATATATATCAATTAGTTTTATAGTTAATGAGTATCTTTACTTTTATAGATCATATATATCAATTAGTTTTATAGTTAATGAGTATCGTTTACTTTTATAGATCATATATATCACTTAATTTTATAAGAAGGCGAGCACAAACACTTTACAATAGGGATATTATAGGCAAACAGTGTTAGGAGGAAACGGTCAGGTTTATCTGTATTCCGCGGACGTACGACAAATTCAAATGATCAGACATAAAATAACGTTTTGTATCATAACTGGAGTTTTAATTTTGTCCCTGTGTGTTGATACACTAATCATAACGTAGCTATAGTCGTAAACAGTTTACAGACGAATAAGCTCTCACTTATTGTAGCTATAGTAGTAAACAGTTTACAGACGAATAAGCTCTCACTTATTGGACAAATGATATATCCTTTTGAGGATGCGAATTTAGATATTTATGACAGGAAAACAATACAAAACCAGTATGATTAATTTGCTATTCATACTTTCTCATGGTGTTGGGGGATGAACGTTATTAAAGGATTACACAAAGGAAAACACCGCCAGGCAGAGCTGTCATTATCCTGTCGCTGCCACCATATTTCTTCTGGACAATGTGCAGCCAAATTATGTGAAGAAAAAAATCACAACCGATTCTGATATGTCTTGCTTACTATATTTTGTGCTTAGCCAATCCGTTTGCTTCATTGTTTCGTTTGTTGCATTAAAATATAAATATCTTCTATTTGTTTTTAATAAACAATAGACATACAACATACAATATGATTTATCAGCCCTCTTTGACGATACATATTTATATCATTAGAAGAGACATTTTGTCATAGCGTTTTTGTGATACTTATGATATGGTCTTACGATACTGAGCTTCAATACTCTTCATACCATACTTTTAAAAATTAAAAAAATCTTCAAAACATTTTAAACCGCGAGTTGGACATTTTCCAAATGTATTCGAAAAGTCTAAAATGACACAACAGATATACCACGAAACCTGAAAGTATTAACACCACAAGGGTTCTGATTTAACCCAGTTTTGGTTTAGTATTTATAGCTATATACAGATATAAGACCCCGCTGACATCTGGTAGTATTTCACAACCTTAACGTATTTACACATCACGTTGGTTTTTACCAGTACAAAGAAAGTCTTGAAATTTCCACGAATATCATCTGTAAACGGTGTCGGCTGATTGAGTGTCAAAGCTTTCAGTTTCATGCTGCTTATTCCTCTAACAGTGGAACAATGTCAAAAACAAGTTAATACTGAAAAACTCGTGTTTTGATTTAAAACGAGTCGAAAGACATAAAAGATGATTTCAAATTCTCCTACTATTTGGATGCTCAACATAAGTTTATAATGAATAACAATACGACATATGTTTTAATAATGCTTAATGATACTAAAATATTTCTACCAAACATCAGCGGGGACCTTTCCTTTCTTTGACTTAACAAAACACACGTGTACACTTCAATAAAACAATATCACTTCAAACAGAACAGCAAAATAACAACTTCCTTGATCCCGAAGTATATTGCCTTTTTTATCAGTTGTTGAGAATACGATTCATTAGAACCAAACATGGACGTCCAAGACAGTATCACCTACAATATCTGTTCTATATTTTATTTAAAATTCATCGTCAGCCTCTTCGTCAGCGAACAGCATATAGCCAGAGAAACTGGAGTACATGTAACCATGGAAATAGGACGCATCTTTCCGCGCTGACTGCCACACTTGTTGACCCCGGTTCAGGCTCAGGATCACGGTGTTGGACGACGTCGCCCAGGGGAAGCTCTCGGCCCAGACTGTAACTACCATCCTCCCCTCTCTCATCAGATTCACAGCACCCTGTAACGATAATTAGTAATATTAATGTTGATAAACGTTAATAGCTTTTATTTTCAATTGTCCTTAAACTGAAGGCAATGGTAGGAACACATACAAAATAGCGGGTAGAGCTAAATAATATTTCCCTGTTTGAAAGAATATTTTTGAATATCATCTCTCACTGTAACCAATCATCTCTCATTGTTACCAATCATCACTCATTGTAACCAATCATCACTCAGAGTAACCAATCATCTCTCATTGTAACCAATCATCACTCATTGTAACCAATCATCACTCATTGTAACCAATCATCTCTCATTGTAACCAATCATCACTCACTGTAACCAATCATCACTCATTGTAACCAATCATCACTCATTGTAACCAATCATACACTGTGTAACGATATACAGGTAACGACCTCGTTTTTCTCTAGACTCCTTTGCGTCTAAAAGAACATTATTTCGTGGCATTAGTTTATTTCTTCATATCGACGACTCCATTTTCAAATCAATTTGAAAACTGTTTTATCAAAGTTCTCTTTGTATTAAAATTTCAAGGCAGACAACTCTAACTTAGATAAGGAATTCACTTCTGATCTTCGATTAACATTAACATGTAACGGCAAGAAAACTATACTGGCGGTATACATAACATGTAACGGCAAGAAAACTATACTGGCGGTATACATAACATATAACGGCAAGAAAACTATACTGGCGGTATACATAACATACAGCAATTTAAGAAATATTTACAGAACTTATTTTATCTAAGAAGATTTTCGACTGTCAAACAAGCCGAGAATTGTTTATTTCTACAAACCCCAGGAGATCGTTCCCGAACACTAACTCATGCTATATCGACCTGGAGTGTGTACCAGCATTGCGGTGAGCAGATAGATGGCATATATCCCGTCGTAAATCACAAAAATGCTGGTATTTTGTTGTGTTATCTCAATTATGACATGTTTGCGATAAATCATGAAATTGAAATTGTCGGTTTTTCCTTATATGTCAAAGTCTTATCTGATAAGGAAGGTCTCCTTAATAATCAGGCGTCACCTTATCGCCGCCATGTCAGTCAGCGTAGCGAATGATGTTTTTCCTATTTTGAACAAGAAAGGGAAATGAGGACATGCATACAGCTATTCCTTTTAACCGCCTCATCAGATAACGATTATCTCATTACAAAAACAAGTGGACTTACTGTCCCAATAGATAGTTAAAATCTCTGTCGCAGTTAAACTTGGTTTATACATTCCAAGCGGAAAATCACATTTCTAACAAAAACTTTATCAGCTTAACTTTACATACTAATATTGCCGTGTGTTGTTTGAGCTTATTCCATAGAGATTACATATATCGGTAATATAGTTGAGTTATTTATTGGTGTTCGTTTTTCACATAACAGAAGCATCGTCAAGGGAAATGGAGGACACAAATTCTTTCATCCAAACTTTCGCATTTTTTGTATATAAAAATATCAGTTACAAAAGTGTTTTCCCACAGACGATATATATTTTTCCAAAGAGTAAGCTAGATTTTTTTTGATAATTCTGAAGGGATATTGGATGAATCATTTTAAGTCTAACGATGAACTCGTCTGGCAGTTATATATCCACTTTAACTTGTAGCAATAGAACACCTACTGCCACGCTGTTTTCTGAATTAATAACGAACACGTTAGAATACCTCTAGGAATGGTTCTATACATTTCCGAACACATTAACATGCTACGAAATGAGTCTTTTACCTCACAACGTTGGCATTTCCATGTCATAAAGAATCACAAAAAACTACTGCAATGCTTCGAGAAGGTGCTTTTGTTTTAATTTATGTACCTTTTCATGTATTTTGCTTTGAACTGAAGTGCGGAAATGACATGCCTGTACCGTATGAAGTGATTTAACGAGCTGTACCCTTCCACTCTAATCTGATCGCTAGTATCAGGATAGATAGATGTGTACGAAGGAGACAAGTGTTTCTACCTGAGGAGAAGTTTTAGTTTCTTTGAGGACACTTCACGGTTGTCATTATGACCTGACAATTATTTTTCAGTGTCTACTATAAATAACTGTTCATTCTTTCTTTGATCGTTGGTGACACAAGTTATTTCCTAGATTTGACAGGAGGCCTCTTTGCAGGAGGTAAGATTATTTCAGTAAACGGTTACCTTTCCAAACCATGTGGGTTGTTTTTTTCGGTTTTTTTTTCCTGGGGACATTTAATGTTTGGCCTTTGTATATTTCTTTGCTGTTTTATGAGTTCCTATTGTTTCTTGCATCGATTGTAAATGCCAGTTTTGTCTCTTGATTTGATTTGATTTGACGCCGCTGTGGTGAGTTAATTTGATTTCTCTCTCTCTATGACTTGTCTATTGAGTACATTAAAATTTATATATATATTAACAGGTGCACCGCAATTTTGGGAAAACATGTTTATAAGAAAATAGCTGTAATGGCAATGGGAAATGATGATAGTCGTGTACACTTACTTTATATACCTTCGCAATATTATGTAGGACAAATGTAGGGAAATTCGTTCCATACTCACTGAAAGACTGATAAATGTAGTTTATTAACTTAACTTTCCATTTTGTAAACGCTCACTGTATTCAGATAGCAAAAGTCGATTCATTAAATTAATATGAAGGAAATATCACATATATATTACAATTTCGGCAGCATCGTCCAATATTTGGCGACATTGGAGCCTGGACTTGATCCATACAGCATATAATAAACTTGCTTTAATTATTATTTTTAACTTTAACCCTTTACATAATTTAAAGGCTCATTGATAACGACATGCAAATGTGATTTTACAATAACTTCACAACTACCAAACATCTATAACTTTCGTACTAACAATTCAACAGTGCTGCTATTTTCTAAACACGAACAAGACAGAAGCAGGTGCAATAGAGGCTGTAAAGCAATGAACGAAATTAGAATGGAGAACTGTGTATGTAGCTTAAACGCGACAGCACGATCGCGAAAAGGTATGGACACAAAGTAGACATTACATGGACGGGTCATAAGTTGTAAAACTCTAGTTGTGTCAGGTCTATCACGACTCACGATATTTCGTTATATAGGTCAAGGTTTCAAAATGATTTTTGTACCCAATCGTACAAATACGAATTTTTTTATGTCCTTTTTAGCTGATGAATTCAATTTTGAATATCACTACATCGTGTATCAATGTGCTTAAACATAATTTGATTGCATAATTGATATTAATGAAATATGGCGATTTAACAATTAAAATAAATTTGATAATTTATACGAATGAGATTAGCATTAATACCATTGACACTTAGACGAAAGCTCTTCGTGATCTAACAATACAGTGAACGTGTACTAGTGAACTAATCATAGTCTTGTGATATCCCATACTACTTGTCCTTACCTTCTTTTGGCCCTGTGCCGCCACGACTACCGTAAACTGATACGTGCCGTTTACTGGTGCCGTAAATCGGCCGGTGGTTTTATCGTAACCACCACCGACATTTGTGACCAACTTGTCGTAAACAAGATCCCTGTTTTCTTTGAAAGGTCCCACGTTTTCCCGCAGTCCCACAAAGAATGCAACTCTGGGTGGGGCTTTTGGAGACTTACCTGGAAAATAAAGTTGTGTATTAATACTACGTCTACCTTAGCCGGCCTCTCGGGAACGTCTGTAATCACGCTTTACTGTTGTTACGTGTTTGTTACCTTAATGTTTTTTGTTTGTTATGTATGTGTGTTAGGGTGTTTGTAACGTGTGTTAATGTGTTTGATATCAGTAAGTGTGTTTACATGAATGTAATATGTAAGTGTGTTGACGTTTTGTAATATGTTAGAGTGTTAACATGTTTGTGAGCTGTAAGTAAAGTAACGTGTTTGTGATCTGTAAGCTTGTTAACGCGTTTGTTGTTTGTAATGTGTGCTAACGCGTTTGTTATTTGTTAATGTATTAACATGTTTGTGATATGTAAGTAAAGTAATGTGTTTGTGATCTGTAAACGTGTTCACGTGTTCGCTATTTGTTAGTATGTTAGAACGTATTTGTGATGTGTTATGTGTGTTAACGTGTTGCTGATCTGCAAGTGTGCCAAAGTGTTTGCTATTTGTAATCTGTATTAACCTGTTTGTGATCTTTTAGTGTGTTAACATTTTTGTGTTATTTTAGTGTGTTAACATATATTTGTGATCTGTTAGTGTGTTAACGTATTTGTCATCTGTTAGTGTGCTAACGTATTTGTGATCTGTTAGTGTGCTAACGTATTTATGCTCTGTTAGTGTGCTAACGTATTTGTGATATGTTAGTGTGCTTACGTATTTGTGATCTGTTAGTGTGTTAAAGTATTTATAATCTGTTAGTGTGCTAACGTATTTCTGATCTGTTAGTGTGCTAACGTATTTGTAATCTGTTAGTGTGTTAACGTATTTGTGATCTGTAAGTGTGTTAACGTATTTGTGAACTGTTAGTGTGTTAACGTATTTGTGATCTGTTGTTGTTCTAACGTATTTGTGATCTGTTAGTGTGCTAACGCATTTGTGATCTGTTAGTGTGCTAACGTATTTGTGATCTGTTAGTGTGTTAAAGTATTTATAATCTGTTAGTGTGTTAACGTATTTGTGATCTGTTGTTGTGCTTACGTATTTGTGATCTGTTAGTGTGCTAACGCATCTGTGATCTGTAAGTGTGTTAACGTATTTGTGAACTGTTAGTGTGTTTACGTATTTGTGATCTGTTAGTGTGCTAATGTATTTGTGATCTGTTAGTGTGCTAACGAATTTGTGATCTGTTAGTGTGCTTGCGTATATATGATCTGTTAGTGTGCTAACGTATTTGTGATCTGTAAGTGTGCTAACGCATTTGTGATCTGTTAGTGTACTAACGTATTTGTGATCTGTTAATGTGCTAACGTATTTGTGATCTGTTAGTATGCTAACGTATTTATTTGTGCACCATTCGCAAATGTGTCGGTGTCATTTTGTAATTTTGATATATGCTATCATGTTTATCAAAAACATAAATACAATATCTGTGATTTATGTGATACACATACTTCCATGTGTTTTAATCTTATGTATTACTTTGTAATTAAGATATTGATATAATTGGGAAAACATATCAATTTTCTACATTTGTTATCAGGCGGTGTCACTGATCTTTTTTTTTTTGTATAATTGCATCCACTTTGGTTTTAATCTTACCTGTATTTTCATCTTTGACATGTTTGACTCTTTCAACTTACCTTTCGATATATGGCACATTTCAATTTTTATTAAGAAATATTGTCAAATTACTTGTTACGTCACATCAACTACAACAGCTATAAAGTAATATTAACTTAATGTTGTTGATTACTTGAGGATAGTCACTATCCAGCATAGTTAGATAACATTTAGAACGCGGTTTGTTGTTATGCCTGAGAGAGCTCCTCTATAATGCGGTGCATTGTGAAGGTACACACGCATACCAATGTCTATGTATCTCTAAATTATGGGAGAAAACAAAGGTACAAAGTGAGACATGTGTGTGATAAATGATGAAACATTGGTCCTGATTTGTAGTTTTTATTGATGGCGTAACCGAACACCAAGTACAACCTGTTTCTATTATATGCGAATAATTTAATTGAAATGTAGCTATACTATTACTTAAATTTTGCTCTTTCAGCTGGTATATACCTTTTTTAGCGTTTTAATGGGTCTCTAGGTAAATCGTTTTCTTCATTTCGTTTTTGTCCTTGGTTTATCCATTTTGTGTTCGAATTCCGGTAATGTTTATATATTGGTATACTTTTGTCTCGTCCATACTCGCATACCTTACTAGTTCAACGTAAGTATTTATATGGTTTTGCTGTCATTGGTTACATCGGACATGGTATCTAAATTTGCAATTTTTGCGTTCTAGTATCACAAGTAACGTTGGACAACTACATTTAGATTCACGTAAAGATGATGTGGTTATGCATTGTCTTGGCGTCAGTCTTACGATTCAGTAACAGCTGATCAACACGCTGATCAACAGTTCTTATTTCAATGTCGCAGTTGGCCAACACAAATCAATACAGGTTTGTTCCAGTGCTGATTAGAAATTGTAAAAACACGAGAACAATTAAGGTTGTTAGAGCTGTCGGAATTGATTTATAATTTACTTTAAATGGAGACTATTGACAATTCATTCCACCATTATGAGAATTTGGGGAAATTAAATATGTTACAATGCTAATCAATGCAAATTATTGGAAAACTACGGTGTATTGTTTCATGTTGCATCCTGGCACATTGCCTTTCAGTTGGGTTTGTTTTTCGTGATAATCGTATTCATTTTGTGGTCTCATGGTCGAAATTTAGATCAATTTAAAAAATTGGACAAATTTTACAATATCCGAATGTCATTGACATCCGTCAGGAGTTATTATTAGAATATAGTCTAAACATTCATAACCGTTTCAACCTTTAAGTAGAAGACTTGAACATCGGTTCAACATCAAAAATACATTAAATGTATTGGTACGAACTGTTATATTTCTAAAACGCTTAAATCATTATATACACATTCTAATATCAGTTCGCGTAAAACCGTTTATTCATGTTTCTATTTTTAAAAAACTAGTTTTGATTTGACTTTATATGGAACAAATCCGATAGCTTTGATCATGCTAGGTAGTATAATTTACTTAATCCGATTTCCATATAATCGTATCGATTATTAAGTTCGTATGCGATTTGTTTTTTCCGAGTTAACGTTGAGCTCATACGGTCTACATACCAAAGCGAATTGGCTATTTATTATGTATTAGTTGTCAGTCAAAGACATGGCGCTAGAACAGGAAATAAGCAGGTGCGGAAGGAGAATGAATAGATGCTAAACTGCATGAACCGCAACGCGAGTTTGTCTGTGCGTAATTAGCATCCATTTACCTGACTGACTACGGGATGAAGGATATCACTTACGTCATGTTTAGACACTGAAATTTATGGTGTAGTATTGCAGTCGGTATTCCAGGCGCAGTTATATGCAAATAATCTACAAAATGCTTACTTTAAAAACCAAAACCATGATATTAAAGGCCAATTTCCATCCGGCAAAGGAAGATAATCAGACATGGATTAAGGGTTTGTGCTATCTATAACGGTTGTGATTTTTATTTTGCAATTGAAATCAATAAACGTCATTACCGTACACTGCACATATGAGATATTAAAATACTCTCAATTTCGCAAGAGGTTTTATGAGAACAATTGAAGTTTGTTTTTCATGAGGCTCCGCATTGCTACATTCTCATATGAAATGGAATCGAATGTAATATCGTTTTATCAAATAAAAAAACCCTATGAGAATATTTGGGAAAATATTGGTTTTAATGTTATTTCACATTTCTATGCCGTCATGTCTTTTTTCTATAAGTAGTATTGCATAAGAAAGTTAGCTAAAATGTGATAAGAGTATTCGCTTTTTAACATGGCAGTTATATGAAAGCACGTTTAAACGTTTATTGAAGACTGTTTGTACTTGTAACTTTTTTTCAGATCGGGAAATACATTTTGAATATATGGCACAACGAAATAATGTTTATGTGATCTGTAATGTTGCGATGACAAGTATACTGTTGACATAGGCATAAGGCAAGTAACAGTACGTCACGTATACCGTAAGTTGCCAGCAATGTGAACTATGAGTGTTTACTAATAGTACCTGGCAGTTGATTTTCAAAAATGTATCAGCCTGTCCATCTTTCAAAAATGTCGACTGTAGCTTATATAAATAACGTCCTTTGTCAGCCCAAATTTAATTTTCTCTGTCCACCACTGTGGAATTATCTTAGTCTATCGGATTATTTTCTGTGCGGCGTTATCTGTATTTGCCGATTGATCTATCTGAAACTCCGCCTAATTTTTTCTGACCTGGTGTATTTATTGTCATAGGTTTCTGTAATTGTTATTTCATATTTCGGTTTACAGTTTTCAGCAACGTGTGACTGAAGCAGCCTCCTATTGTGGCCAATTTGTTCATGGTACACCTGGAACAAGAAGTGACAGCCACCGCCACCGTGGAATCTAACCAAAGCCCGTGCACAATACAATGACGGCATTCTACAGCTCATTAATAATCACAAAATACGCTCACCCCTGAAAACACATTTGAAATCTCGATTCAAAGGTTGGAATAGTCCATTATGAAATTTAAAGGGTGAATGCGTTAATATGTAAGGGAGAAATCAATGGCATAGTATCAAACATGAACTATCGCAAGAGAGCACCATAAGGATAAAACACTAAAGTGAAACATCGCAAAATGCGTGTACAAATAGGATACAAGAACAGCGAAGACTCGTTTATTTGGGAGACAGAGATATTGTTTGACGTCACAGCAAAAACATTGAAGCTCAAAGTAAATCAAAATAAGCAGGTCAATAAAGGAAACAGTCTCAGATCAATAAATTTACAATTACAGATCGTGACAAAAAGAGAACTGGGATAATTACAAAGGGGTAAACAGGGATATCAGTATATCCAAGCTCATATAAAGAAAGGTATGTGAATGCATCAAAATAGCATAAAGCATATACATGTTGATGCAGAGAACTGGTCTGAATAAACACTTAATCCTTTATGAATAT